CGTGGCACATCTCAGGTGCCGAGAGAAAAAAACTGTCAATTTGGTATTCTATTTCTGGCAAAAATATCCTCCGAGAAAGGCAAGGGGAAATCTAGACATTCTCAGATGAAGGAAAACCTTAAAAAATGTGTTGCCAGCAGACTCACCCTAAACGAAGGGTTAAAGGAAAGTCTCTAAACAGAAAAAAAAAAAAAACCTTTTAAAAAGAAGCAATCTTGGAACAGCAGGAAAGAAGAAAGAAAATGTTACTTTTCCCTTGCATTTTCTAAATCGTCCTTGATGCCTGAAACACAGATTGTAACGCAGTCTGGTACAGTTCTAAGGAACACAGAGGAAATACCTAGGGCAGTGCTGTTATTAATGGGGGAGTACAAAGGGACATAAGGGAAAATCACATGATCGTATCAATCAATGCTGAAAAAATATTTGACAAAATTCAACATCCATCCATGATTAAATACAACTGTCTGAAAACTAAAAATAGAGGGGACCTTTTTAGATTTGATAAAGAACATCTACCTAAACATGTACAACTAACATCATACTCGATGGGTGGAAGATTGTGCCTTCTCTCTAGTGCTGGGGCAACACCCGCACTCCCCAGAGTTGGCGTTGCAGGTTCTTGCTGGTGCCATGAGGCACAAGAAGTAAATAAAAGGCATACAGATTAGAAAGGAAGAGGTCAATTATGCCTATTTGTAGGTAACACGGTTGACTATGCAGAAAACTCCAGGAAACCTACACATAAAAAATGCCTAGACCTGATAAACGAATTTAGTATGGTCTCAGGACACAAGATAAAAACACAGAAATCAATCTTATTTCTATAACTAGCAATGAACAGTTGGGTGAAAGTAAAAATGCAATACCATTTACACTGAAGAAAGCAAAATACTTGGTCATAAATCTAGCCAAACATCTCCGGGATGTGCAGGCTGCAAGCCACAAAGTGCCAGTGAGAGAAACCAAGGGCTGCGTGAACGGGGAGTGTGCCGTGTTGGCGGGGAAGGTGTCGGTTCTCCTCAAGCTGGTGTACGGGTTCAATGTGGTTCCTATTAAATGCCAGGGTAATTTCTTACAGATACAGACAATATTATTATAAAACTTATTAGGAGTGGCAAAGGAACTGAAATAGCTAAAAACAATTTTGAAAAAGAAGAATAAAGTGGAAGAAATCAATGTTCTCGATTTCAAGACTTATTGCGCAGCTACAGTGCTCAGACTGCGCGATGCCGGTGGAGGCGTGGCCACCCAGATCAATGGACCAGGATAAAGAACCCAGAAATAGACCCACACAAATATGCCCAACTGGTGTTTAAAAATTTATTATTATTTTTATTCTCACTTGAGAACATTTTTCATTGCTTTTAGAGAGAGAGGAAGGGAAAGACAGAAAGAGAAACATTGATGTGAGAGAAATACTGATTGGTTGCCTTCAGTACCCACCCTGACCGGTGATCAAACCCACAGCTTAGACTGGGTTTGGGTGCCCTGACTGGGAACTGAACCCACGACCTTTCAGTTACAGGATGGTGCTCAAACCAACTGGACCATACCGACCAAGGATCAACTGGTTTTTGACAAAAATGCAAATCCATTCAGTAGAGCCAGGAAAGACCATTTGTTGATCCTTTTCAACAAATGGTGCTAGAGATATTAGACATTCATAGGCAAAAAAAAAAAAAATCAATCTTGATCTGAATTTCATACCCTACATAAAATTTAACTCAAGATGAATCATGGTCCTAAATATACAATGTAAACCTGTAAAAAATGTTTAAACAATAGGAGAAAATCTTTGGGATCTAGGCCTAAACAGAGTTCTTGGACTTGATATCAAAAGCATCATAAAAATTGATAAATTGGATCTAATCAAAATTAAAAACTTTTGCTCTGTGAAAGACCTTTTCAAGAGGTTGAATAGACAAGCTTCAGACTGAAATAAAATATTTGTTAACCACATGTCTGACAAAGGCCTACTATCGAGGGTATATAGAGACACTTAGAACTCAACAGCAAACACCAGCAGCAGCAGAGCAGCCAAACAGCATGAGCAGACACGTGGTCCGAGACAGCACAGGCACAGAAGCCAATGAAAAGATGCTCAACACCATTAGCCATTAGGGACATGCAGGGAAAGCCACAACAAGGTATCACTACATGTCTCTCAGAATAGCTAAAATTAAAAAATAACGACAATACCAAATGCTGGCCAGAACATGGAGGAACACGTACATTCCTGGCAGGAACCCAACCCGGCAGGATAAGGAATGTGCTGTTAGTGCGCGCAACTTGGATAACTCTCCAGAGAATTATTTTGAGTGAAAAAGCCAATCCCAAACATGCATGCTGTGTGAGTCCAGTTCTAGAATATTCTTGAAATGACAAAAATCACAAAAGTGGTTGCCAAAGGTTGGGAGGAGAGTGGGTGTGGCTGTAAAATGGCGGCTGGAGGGGTTGCTGCAGTGACGGTGACAGATGGAAACGTGTCTGGACAGCACCCGGGTCAGGGTCCCGGTTGTGTGCATTTGCCAGATGCCACCGTTGGGGGAAACTGGGTACAGGTACAGGGTCTCTCTATATCATTTCTGACAACGTTTGCATCTGTAATTATCTCGACATGAAAAGTCTGATTTAAAAATAAGGAATAGCACGTAAGAGAATCCCAAGGAGCGATGAGGGCCGTGGGGAAAGGCGGTGGGGCGCGATGCTTGCCCTGTGGCTGGGCCATCAGAGTTGGAGTTGGACCTGGTCACAGGGTAAGATCCTTGGTCGTAGAGACTAGAAATTCACTGTAGAAGTAACTTATGCAAAAAGAGAGAATTTATAGAAAGTACTTGTATAAGAACTTTGATTGCCAATGATAGAAACCCAGTTCAAACGGGCTTAAGGAAAAAAATCCGAAAAAGGAAGCTGGGTTCTCACAACGGAAAAGCCCAAGGGTAATGGCTTCAGCTCAGGGGTCTAGCTCCTTTCTCTTGAGTCAGCTTCTCTCTCGGCTGCACTGGTGGTAACACAGTCCCCAGAGGCTCCTGGCTCCCACTGGGGATGAAAAGAGAGCCCTGTTTCCTGATAACTTTTGCAAAAGTCTTGGGGTTGAGTCTCAATAGCTTAACTTCGGTGTCACGTGCCCATCCTGAACCAATCACTGTGGCCAAAGAGAAGCGACACTCCCATTGGCCAGGCCTAGGCTGTGTGCTCACTCCCTAAGGCTGGGGGTGAGGTCAGCCCCACACAAATGCCGAGGCCCGAGAGGAGGGGAGGAAGGATCTGTTAATGGAGGGGATGTGGGTCTGACAAAACCAACTACTCGGGGAATCCCAGAAAAAAAGTCTGCTTCTCCATTCTCTGCCCTCAGGTTCTCAATTCCATCACTCTAGCTCAAACAGACATCCCAGACTGAACTAGAATCTTAAACTTCATTGCTCAGAGGAAGGATAATCTGATTAAACTAGCTTGGGTCAGACATTCAGCCCTTATCCAATCATCTATGAACAGCAGGTGGAGTCACCTACCGGACCCTTTGGTGGACAGGGCAGTTCTTAGAGGGGCCAGGCTGATGCCCTGCAGCTGCCTACTGCAGATAGTCAGAGCTTCCGGAAGATCTAGGTGAATTAGCTCCTTATCGTGAAAGAACAGGGAACTCTTTTAATGGGCTAGGCAGTAAGCGATGGATGATGACTGGGGATGCCTGGGAGGAAGGCTGGTCCTCAGACTTCCCCATGCTGTGCTCCGGGGGCCTGAGGCTGACCGAGCAGAGGCCCGGTGGGGGGTGCGGGGTGCACTGCACTCACTCCCAGGAGTGCGGGGGCAGCGGTGCTGAGAGACCTTACGGGTTGGTGGAGGGGGAGGCTGGGGGCTCAGGGGCGGTGCAGGGTTGCCAACAACAAAACCGAGCCCTTCATTTGGAGGAAACCAGTCATTAAGGTAGAGACTGGGGAACAGGAACCCAGCAACCAGACCGGGTGTGAGCAGGGCAAGGCAGGTACGGCACCCCTGGTTATGAATGGTACCGCACGGTCCTGCTCAGAAGAACCAGGCGGGAGGCCCTTTCTAGAGTGGGCTCCGGCCAGCTTAGGCTCCAGCCCCACGCCACCTTCCCTTCCTCCCTGATCTGGGTAGGACCGGTTCTCGGGCTCCGGCCGCCCAGCAGCACTTCAGGCAAGGGCAGCTAGCGGCCCCCAGCTGGGCCAGGAGGAAGTGTGGAGCCACGAAGGTCATTATAATTTAATCTCTCGGAGGGAGACCTTGGAAACCGAGTCAGATAGAAGTGGGGAGTAAAAATGTTGATGGCTGTGGTGATAGTAATGACAGCAAACCTTTCTGGAACGCCGGCTGGGTACCAGGCCCTATTCACCTCCTTTAATCCAGGAAACAAACCTGTGAGGTGGAGCTATCGTTCCGCCCATTAAAATGGATGTGAGGAGTATGAGGCAGAGAGGTTAGGCCTCTTGTCCAAGGTCACACGGGAACAAAGATACCTTAACTCCCACAGAAAATCAGCTTTTAGGGCTCTGGTTCCCATCTTTTCTCACCACCAGCTTCCACTAATCTCCTCACATTCCCTTACTCCAGCACCCCAAATCCCCTGCAGTTTGTGGAATGTTCCCTACGCCTCATGCCTCCATGCCTTTGCACATGCTCTGCCCTCTCCCTGGGACGCCCTTCCCCCGGGCCAACCCTCCCTCAGCCTCCCAGACCCGCACAAGCACAGTTGCAGGGCGGCGGCCCTCCCTGTAGTCAGGCCCCTTGGATGGAACGAGCCGCTCTCTTTCTGCCTCCTGATAACAAACTCCAGCATATCTGCACCACAATGTACAGATGATGCCGTCTCCCACACTGGACCTGAGGGGTGCAGGGACCAAGTCTGATTCTTCTGTATGGTGGCACCTGCTTAGGTCTGGCCCAGAAGAGGCCGCCAAGGAGGGTGCATGGATGTGTGGTGGGTGGGGCTCCCTGTCCCCACCCTCACTGGCACCTCTCTCCTGGTCTTCCGGCAGCCTGGCCTGGGGCTCCTTCACCTGCTGCATGGCAGCCTCGGTCACCACGCTCAACTCCTACACCAAGACGGTCATTGAGTTCCGGCACAAGCGCAAGGTCTTCGAGCAGGGCTACCGCGAGGAGCCGACCTTCATGGACCCTGAGGCCATCAAGTACTTCCGGGACAGGTCAGTGCACATGGGGTCACCTCTGGCTGCCCACAGAAGTGTTCTGCGGGGGCGGGGATGTGGGGTGGAAGGGCCAGGTTGGGTGAGGCAGGGTTTGGACTCCACTATGTTGGAATATCTGGGACATTTTAATGTTTTATGGGGCCTGTGGCTGACTGGAGCTTAAGTAATCAGAGAATGAGAAGCCAGGAAGGGAATCAAGGTGGAGTGTTTGCTGTTTGACCCCTGTCTTCTTCGAACCAAGGCAGGGCTATACAAAGGCTGAACCAAGGTTTCCATCTCGGCTCTGTCACGGCACTGACTGACAAGAAGACCCGGCTGTGGGGCTGGTGATGGCTGCTAGAGGAGGGCTCCTCGAGGTCAGGGGCCAAATTGGGCACGTGGAAGCATGAGTGCGTGGATGGATGGCAGGTGCACGGACGCCTGACTGGATGGGTGATGGGTGGGCGGGAGGGCAGACAGGCAGGTGGTTAGCATATTTCCTGGGACCATCTCCCAAATACACTACCTTGCCCAAATCCTTATTACACAATCGGCTTCTGGGGGAGTAATTGGACTTGCAGTAATGACCTTCAGTGGCAGAAAAGTGCAAGGTCCTCAGATGGAGTCTGAGGAGGAAAAGGGGGAGGAGGCTGGGAAGCTGGGCAGTGTTGGGGAGCTGGACTGTCCGTGGGGCACGTGGGAGGGTTTCGGTCCCAGGAGTCCCGTGGTGGGGGCCACACAGGGGCCCCTCTCTGACGCCAGGGTCTCTCCTCTGCCACGTGGGCCTCCTTTCTGTTTCTGGAACGCTGCAAGCTCAGACCCACCTCAGGCCCTTTGCAGCTGCTGTACGCCTGCTGAATACTCACCTGGCTGGCTCACTCAGGTCTCTGCTCAGTGAGGTCTTCCTAAATCAGTTGGTCTCAATTTGCATACCCCCACACACCCTGTCCTCGTCACTCTTTAACCCATTGCTATTTTTTTCATAGCACGTATATAATCTAACATTATTCTATATATTTATCTGTTTGATAGTTCATGGACTGTGAGCTCCATGATAGAAGGGCTTTGCTGTGTTGTCACTGTATTCTAAGCACCTAGAACTGGGCCAAGTTCCTAATAGATGCTCACTGAATTTTCCCTGTGTGATCAGCTGAATTCCTCTCTTTGGAGACCTCAGCCCTGACTCGCTCATGCCCTTTCAGCTCAACCCCCACCATCGTCAGGCAGATTCAGCATCCCCACACTCCCACGCCAAAGTCCCAGGTCAGGTTCAGACCCAGGCCAGTCAGCTGCGGCCAGGGCGGCCAGGCTACCCTGGCATGTGGGCCTGCCTCACCCACAGCTGTGGCCACAGCATGTTCAGTGGGAAGGAGGCGATGACTGGCATAGCCGGGGGCCCATGGCAGTCACTCAGGAAATGTTTACAGAAGTTGTATAAACAGCCCGATGACTGAAACCATCCCAATAACACTGCACCAGTTTTCCCCTTGGCTGTGGAGATCGTGGGACATCCGTGGGCAGCCTTGTTTTGCCAAGGCAGAAAACAAGACAGCTTCATATGAAGAAGCTGCTGTGTGCCGGTGCCCCAGTTCTAATGGTCCCCGGGACGCGGGAGAGAGGGCCCCCCAGCACGCAGTCCCGGATATCAGTGTGCACATTCACAACTTGAACATTGTGCAGAGTTTCATCAAATTACTTCCCTTCTTCTCCGAGGAGAGCATTTTGGCTTAACTGGGCTGCTCTAATTTTTTCTTTCCCTCTTCCTCTGTTGTGTGTGTGTGTGTGTGTGTGTGTGTGTGTGTGCCTTCCCTACAAAGCGCTTGGAGCATACAGACTGATCTCTGCACAGGTGTGCAGGTGACCCAGAAGCAGGGCTGGGGTCCCACAGGGGCCAGCATCCCCCAGCCACAGCCAGGGACACAGGGAGGAGACCCCCAGTCTCATCTGCCCGTCTTTCCTGCCCTTGGGGGACAGGGGTGCTGTAGAAAGAGCAGGGGTTTGGAGGCCCCCACCTCAGTGAGTTTTCCAGTTCTGTGACTTTGCTGCTGTGTGACTCGGGGCAGGCATGAAGCCCCTTGGGGCTGGTTTCCTCTGACCCACGGTGGGAGAGCCAGAGCTCTTGGCTGCTGCGAAGGCTCAAACATGATAAGGCAGGTGATGTGCTGGGTGGTACCGGGCACATGGAGAGGGTTTTGTGTGTGTGAATTCCTGTCCCTTCTGCTACTGATGTGAAGTGTAAAGCTCGGGAATGGTTAGTCCAGGATGAGGTGGAGACGGTATTTTAGTTATTAGGGTTTTAATAGTCACATTAATAACCACAGCTGACACTTCTGTGGTGCTCGCCCTGTGCCGGCCACTCCTCTAAATGCTTTGGATGTTAATTCTACAGCAGCTCTGTGAGGTAGCAGGTATTATTGTATCCCATTTTATAGTTGCAAAATCAAGGCACAGAAAGGTGAAGGGACTTGCCCAAGGTCACACAGCTGGTAAGTGCAAGAGCTGGGATTCGAACCAGGTCAGTCACCGTGATGTGTGGCTGCCCAGGACTGATCGGCAGACCCTGCCCAGCACCGAGGGGGGTCTGCTGGGGCTCTCAGCACCAGAGCAGGTGAAGTACCGCTGCCCCACCCCACCAGGGTCCTGTCTGAGTTTTCTGTGCAGGAGTGAGCCCATTGCAGGTCTGAGGAGCAGGTGGGCAGACTCTGAGAGGTTTCTAGGGGCTCTGGGATGTGGCGGTGTGTGGAAGAAAGGTGCATGTGTGCACGTGTGTGGGGCTAGTGTGCACACACGTGGGGTTGGGGTGGAGGGAGCCTACACCTCCTGATGAACCACCTCACTTGCCAGAAGAAACTTCTGGAATTAAACGCTGTGCGTTGTCCCCAAGGAGGGCATCTTAATGGCACCTCAGAAGGAGAGGGTTGGGAGGGGAGGACTGGGAGGGCATGAGCGGGAGTCGCTGAATGAAAGGTAAGGATTTGCGGATCGGGCTTTCAGGAAGGCTGACAACAGACCTGCTTTAACAATGTGGGGAAGAAAAGGAGGCCTGTTGGGCTGGACTCCCAGTGGCAGGGGATTCAGCCCCACTGAACACACACCCCGCCTCCCAAGGGAAGGCTGCAGGGAGTGGGGGTGCGGAGCGAAAGGCTGGGCAGGAGAGCAGCTCCTGCTCCCTCAGGCCGCTCCGGTCACCTCACTTGCTGGGCAGCATGCACTTCTCTGAACTTCCTCGTTAATTCATTTGCTTTCTTGTTTGCATCTGCCTCCTCCCATGTGCAAGCCTTGAGAGCTTGCCCTTTGCAGTTTCCACTCGGTCCCCGGTCCCTGGAACCCCAGGGCTCAATAAGTTATTCTTAATGATGGTGTTACTAGTGGTACTGCAGACTGTACAGTGCCTTCTGCGGCCAGCACTGCTTGAGGCCTTACCTGTCTGTGCCCACTGCGTGCGGGAGCCGTGAAGACCCAGACTAGGGCTGGGGTTGCCGTGGTTCCCTGGTTGCGAGTGCCCCAGTGAGTCGCTTCCCTGCTCCGGACCTCAGTTTTCCTGTTAGGAAAACGGCCCTAAGTTATAAAGGCCGGTGTTTTTTCTCAAAGCTTTGTTGTAAGGATTACGTGAGATGATACAATTAAGTTTCGTGCACAAAGCCAGCGTCCTCACCCCCTCCCCCATCCCAGCCGGAAACTGCCCTCTGTGCCAGGAGGACGCACTGCCCACCCAGTGAAGGGCCCAGTGCGGGTGCATACTGGGGCCCTCGGAGAATCCTACCTGGAGATGTGCTTTGTCTGTACCCCATGGTGCTTTTAAGATTCCTTTTTAATTTTTGTTATACTTTATTGATTATGCTATTACAGTTGTCCTGATTTTTCCCCCTTTGCCCCTCTCTACCCAGCAGACCCCACTCCTTCAGGCAGTGGCCCCACCTTTATTCATGTCCATGGTTCATGCATGTAAGTCCTTTGGCTACTCCATTTCCTATACTGTACTGTGCATCCCCATGGCTATTTGGTGATTATTTAGTTTTACTTCTTAATTCCCTCACCTCTTCACTCGTTCCCCACAACCCCCTCCCATCTAGCAGCCATCAAAATGCTCTCTGTATCTGTGACTCTGTCTCTGTCCTTCTTGTTTGCTTAGTTTGTTTTTTAGATTTAATTGTTGATAGCCATGTATTTTTTGCCATTTTATTGTTTATAGTTTTGATCTTCTTTTTCTTAAATGAGTCTCTTTAACATTTCACATAATAATGGTTTGGTGATGATGAACTCCCTTAGTTTTTTCTTGTCTGGGAAGCTCTTTATTTGCCCTTTGGTTCTAAATGATAGCTCTGCTAGATAGAGTAATCTTGGCTGTAGGTTGCTGCTTTTCATGACTTTGAATATTTCTTGCCAATCCCTTCTAGCTTGCAAAGTTTCCTTTGACAAATCAGCTGACGACTGTTACGGGAACTCCCTTGTAGGTAACTAACTGCTTTTCTCCTGCTGCTTTTAAGATTCTCTCTTTATCTTTAATCTTTGGCATTCTAATTATGATGTGTCTTAGAGTGGGCCTCTAGGCACCCATCTTGTCTGGGACTCTCTGTGCTTCCTGGACTTGCAAGTCTATTTCCTTCACCAAATTAAGGAAGTTTTCTTTCATTATTTTTTTTCAAATAAAGTTCTAATTTCTTGCCCTTTCTCTTCTCCTTCTGGAACCTCTATGATGCGAATGTTGGACATCTTGAAGTTGTCCCAGAGGCTGCTTGTATTTCCTCATTTTTTAATTCTTCCTTCTTCTTGTTGTTCTGATTGGTTGTTTTTGGTTCCTTAGATTCCAAATCATTGATTTGATTCTCAGCTTCACCCACTCTACTGTAGTTTCCTGTAAATTGTTCTTTATTTCAATTAGTGTATCCTTCATTTCTGACTGGATCTTTTTTATGCTGCTGAGGTCCTCACTAAATTCCTTGAGCATCCTTATAACCAGTGTTTTGAACTCTGCATCTGATAGATTTCTTATCTCCATTTTGTTTAGCTCTTTTTCT